TTAACTTTCTGATCCAATTTATAACACCTTCCAACTGTGAGTGCCAAAATAGAATAGAATAGAATCTAGAAATTTCTTATTCAATATAGATTACAAGAATAGGTACTTACTAAATGTCATTTAAGCTTTTCCACTGGTTCAAAATAAACCTTTGCCCTGGGATGAACCAGCAAGAAACCCAGTGAGACGTTTTTTAAGCAATAATTTACGATATAATATTTTGTACAATTTTTTATAAAAAGTTTTTTTATTGTAATATTTAACGGCCGTTGTAATTAAGCAAGGCAGTAAACCAGAATAAAATAGAGGAGGCCTTTAAAATGCGAGCGTTTTCGGGCAGGCTTCTTACCCGCAAGTCTTTTTTCCGAAGTTCTAAATGTCGCGGGGCTAATAACACACTTAGGTAAAAGCCGGCCTTAAATAATTTTGAGTGACTCTTTTTTTTAAGTGTGTGTGATGTTCTCTTACTCACTTAAAAAAAAAAAAAACAAATTATTGCATGTCTGGCAAGCTAAATAATTTCACAGTGAATTAGGTATACCTACTTTACGGAAATTTGATATTTAAAGCCGCGTCTCCACCAAAAATGTTGACAACAGTTATGTTTCCAACTGTTTCCAACAAGCGTCTCCACCGAGGGAACAAATGTTGGCAACAAGCGTATTCCTTTGATGTTGCCGCCGAAAATGGAAGCAAGTTTTGTTGGCAACTGTTGTGTTGGCAACAAAACTATGGTGGAGACGCGGCTTTATAATATTAAAGATGTCACAAGTTAATTAGCTGAGATCCGCGTAATAAAATAATAAATATCGCATTATCCGACAGTGGTGTGTCTTTCCTTGTGTAGTGGTGTTGGGATTGGCAGTGCACACGCACTTCAAAGTAAAACATTATTATAATTTATTACGCGCATCTTAGCTAATTAATTTTTAAAAATTTTAATTATTTGTAGGGCCAAACAAATATTTATTCCGTGCAGGATTTAAACCTGCGGTCGACGCAGCAACCTCTGCTAGGGCCCCTGCGCCACGGAACTGTGGACTTAGAAAGATTTCAGACATGTGCCCGGACTCAGCTGGTACGATCCGCCATGATGACTGCTCGTTAATTCGGTAGCAGTTCAATTGTACCGCGGGACGGTGCGACGGTACGCGTTCACGCGGCCCGATTACCGTCACCACGTGACGGCGCCATGCCCGCTCGTGTAATGTGTACGCTCAATAATTAGCGTTGTATAGAAACTAATTGTGCGCCTCTGTGTATACATCGTCATAAGGGTTAGCCCACACCGCGACGTGCTGCCAATTTCTAAACAAGGCAGCAAACAGAATATGTCTAGAATTTTTTGAACTTGTTCTTATTAAGTGGCGAAGCTTGCGAAGTCACTTATTGATTTCACGATGTCTGTCCGTCTGTCCCACGATTATCTCGAGAACGGTTTTGAATTTTCAAATTCTGTTTTCAGCAATCGATTAATGATCACCCAGGCATCTGAACCTCCTATTTTGAAACTGATTGCTCAACGGCAACCGTTAGAAACCGCTACAAAGCTGATTGCTTCGCCTCTTTGCTATGCTGTTAGCTTGCTAGGTTTATAATTTTGGAAAATGTAATAATCTCTATATATATAAAAATCAATTGCTGTCCGTTAGTCTCGCTAAAACACGAAATTGGCTCGACCGATTCTGATGAAATTGTTTGTGTGTTTGAGTGGGTCGCGGGATGGTTTAGATTCACAATTGGACCCGGTAGGTGGCGCTGTTGTCGAGATCCACAAATCACCCGTACGAAGCCGCGGCGGATCGCTAGTCTATAATTCTATACATATAAACAAAAAGTGTTTGTCTGTAATATTGAAATAACTGGCTGCTATTAAGCTCAGGGGGTCATTTGGACAAGGGGTAGATTAAATAACTTGTAGAGAGTAAAGAAAGTGCACGCGGGAAAGAGCCCTGAGCAAGTGCCGCGTTCGGGACTGGAACAGAGCACGAGGGGAACAGAGCGTTGACTTCATTAGACGAGACCTCTCCAACTTAACGTTTAGGTTCAGTGTGCCTCTAACCATTCGGTGATCGCTACCAGTTTTCACCCTCGCGATCACGGAGACATCACTGAACAGTTGTCGTCTGGTCGTCACAATGAAGTCAATCTCATTTTTTGTGGAACCATCGGGGCTCGTCCAGATCCACTTCCTGTGGGGCCGCTTCTGGAAGAAAGAGTTCATCATAAAGAGTCCCTCTTTCTCCATGAATTCGGCCAGCTGCTGGCCCCTTGGTTTCCGTTGCCCTATTCCAAATTTCCCTACTTTCAGCTCACCGTTCTCTCTTGTACCTAGTTTTGCATTGAAGTCTCCCATTAACACCGTATAGTGGGTTTCGGAGGAATGCATGGCTCTAGATATATCCTCATACATTTCCTCCACCTCCTCATCGGGGTGTGCCGAGGTTGGTGCGTAAACCTGTATGACCTTCAGCGAATACCGTTTGGTGATTCTGAGTATAAGGTACGCAACCCTTGTCGACACACTCTCAATCTTTACAACGTTGTTAACGAGAGACCTGTGGACGATAAATCCGATACCTCCTTGGGACAGATGGTCGCGCTCCTGGTGATAGAGCAAGTTACCGGAATCGAGGATTACCGTGTCCTCCCCTTCTCTTCGGACTTCGGATAATCCTATAATATGCCAGCGTAACTTATCTATTTCTTCTTCCAGCTCTACGATCTTCTCGTCAGTCCTCAGGGTGGGGGCGTTGTATGATGTCAGGTCGAGTCGTCTTAGGTGGCAACCGAACCTCCACCGGAGATTCTTAGCACCCCCTGATTCCTGTGCACACTCCGAAATGCATCCTGTAAAACATCCAACCGCTTCAAGCATCTGAATCTTTATCTGGCGAATATTTTTTTATATCTTACGTCAAATAATAAAAAAATAATTTCAGTGTATTTTTATCCGCTGCGTAGGTCGCGTGTCTGTTTGTGTGCTGACCCTTATGTGAGCGACATAGATCTACGATCGTGAAGATCAGGAGAATTTTGTTAGAATTATAGATGATAATTGTTGATCTCCTATTCTTGATGACAGTGATTTTGACCATGGCGAATACTTCGAAGTTCGAAACTGCACATGATATTGACGACATCGGTTAAGAGTAGTTGAATGACCTAAGCTGGTGGCGTGTACAGTACTTAATACTACTTAAACCAGTTAGATTGTTTTAACGCTTTTTTGTTTTCTACCCTCACTCGTAATATTATCTTAAATCTAAGTAACTAGTTTCTATCCGGACGTAACAGGGGCGGGTGGCTAGTCTAATATATAATTCAGGCGCAAAACTAAAACGAATGACTTATCGACCAAGTCATGAAAAGGTAGCGTATGACTTTGACGAAATTAATAGATACGATTAGAAGCATCAAATAGTAAAAAAAAAAAATATTGCAAATCAGTGAATGTCCGCAAATAGACGACGCCGTGAGTATAGGGACGAATCATACAAAAGACGCAGTTATTATAACAAAGTATCATTCAATATGCCGACGATGTTTCAGTCAAGAATTTGTATCTAAACAATCGATTACTAGTTGCCAGGATTTTCTAAATGTGATAAAAGATCTAAAACGTCGATGATGGATGTACAATTAATGTTTTTTTTTCGCGTCTTGTTCAATTGCTATATTATGGTTGTATCACGAATGAGTTGATCCGACCGGGGTAGAACCACGCTCTCACAGAATATCAGCGTAAAAAAGCAGCTTAATACTGCTGTGTTTCGTATGGTGAGTGTAGAGAACCGGAGACCCTTTTTAGTGGAAACGAGATATTCCACCGCGAGGCTATTGAAATTAAAAAAAACATCCTAATTTCAATAGAGAAGATGGATGGTCATCTGCTTGGGATCCTATGATTATTAACAAAATTAATCCAAACCCAAGCATACCACTGCAAGACTTCAAGATAATGTAAGCTCGTTCTGCGTAAATCGAACCAAAAATTAATATTCCAAAACTGAAGGTAGCCGGGCTAACTGCGACATCGGGACGTCAAACATCTCAGTCCCCCCGTGACCATGGGTTGCTGTAAAGCACCCGAAAGGTCGGGAATTAAAATAAGTAAATTAAACGCGATAAAATCCGTAAAAATAGTTTTATTCAATGTGTAGTGTTCGCATAAATATAAGAAATCATTATTAAGCTGCTATTTTGCGCTGGTGCAAGAATGAAGTCTTTTGTGTCAGTGCATAGACTTATTGGCGTGTATTTGGATACGACTACGTACTATATTTGTAATATACTTGTCATCATAATACATCTGTGAAATAAATGTATCCGCAGTCACCAGTCACTATGTCATAAGCCTTAATAAACATCTATTGTAATTGACTGCCATGGTTTAATCGTTGTTGGCGCGAACGCTGATCATGAGGTCCTGGGTTCGAATCCTGGGTGGGACCAAAATCAGTTTTTGGGTTTTTCTATCAAGAAATTCTCAGTAGCAGCCTGGAGTCAGGAAGTTGGTGGTGTTTTTTTCCCCCGTGCCTCGGAAAACATGTGACGCTGTTGGTCCTGCGTCTGATCTCGCCGATCGTGTCGGATTGCCGTCCCATGAGATTATGCGAATGAGGAAATAGAGTGCACCTGTGCCGGCGCACCCTCACGTGCACTATAATCTTGTCCTCCTCATATGACTAGACTATATTGAGACTGGCGGCCGTGACCGAAATTCGATCTGAAGGATATTAATATTGGACTAAAATATTTACTCCATGCTTCAAATGCTCCATGCGTCTTGTACCTTCGACACTGCTGGCCGCTTTCTACGCCTATCATAAACTAGATGTATTTACTGCTATCTATCGGAAGTAAAAATATCTCTCTGGCATTTTCTATTGTCGCCTCTTACATCACCCACGGGATAAAAGAGACGATGGATACCCTTCTTTAACTATCTATCATGCGAAATTCCACTCTGTTTAAATGCCCACCTTGCTTGGTTACAGGTTGCCATCAAAATAATAGACAAAGCGCGTCTGGACGAGGATAATTTAAAGAAGACGTTTCGCGAGATTGCCATAATGAAGAAGTTGCGACACCCCCACATAGTCCGGTTATATCAGGTAATATTACTTAATATCACAAATATGAACAGTATAGTGGCGGTGTAAGAATATCCACTATTCCATATCATGCCGTGGGTGTCGTAAGAGGCGACAGAGGGAAAACTGAAACAGGTGACGGGCAGCACCATCTTCTTGAGAACAACTCAAGATAATAAAAAACTGCGGTTGCCGACCCTCCTGCCAAACGTGGCAACAATGGCAAAATCTGCCCTATGAAACAATCTGTGGGGAGGCCTATGTTCAGCAGTGGATTTTGATAGGGCGGATTATATTATAAATGTGAATGTTTGTCATATAATCACGCTGAAACGGCTCATAGGAGTTCAATGAAATTTGTCGTAGAGGTACATGATATTATGGAAAAAGATATAAGATACTTTTAACCCGACTACTCCAAAAGGAGTGTAATGTTTTTCGGGAGTGTATGTATGTATGTCTATTTCTTTGACGCGCTCTGTTTCCTAAAGGGCTTGACGGATCTTAACATATGAGGTGTCGTTACATTCGTCTTAATTGTGGGAGTGACATAGGCTACAAAATTTGTCTCTTTCCAGATACTTTTTTACGCAGTCGGTATTTATAAAATTTCTGTATCATTGTGCCTGTTGTGTGTGTATACAGAGAGGCGTTATTCTGCCTTTACCAGTAAATATAAATTTACATAATTCGACCACAGCGCCACCTATCGGGTCCAGACTTTGCTTTCTTTTTTTGTTGGGCAGTAAATTAATATTTTTGTGAATTTGAGTAATTTTCGTCCATAAATATGGTATTTGTTAATAATTTGACTATACAGTGCCACCTGGGACGCTGCGCCTCGTAGCCGGACTGGATATTTGCATTTAGCATACTATTAGAGGTAGACCTATATCTATTGGAGCCAATGTAGTGTTTCTATATTTCCCACTACCTCTTAAGTCGGCACACGTTATACTAAATATTTAAGTAAAATCGAACTGAAGATTTCTTTCTTTTTTTCTTTTTATTTATAAATACTTTACAATAGGATTCCCTCTGGTATTGTGGGGGCAGTTTACATACATTAATTTCACAAGGAGAAATGTCCAGACCCGGATCAAGTATCTATATGGCCTACAATAATCATCTAAAGAATCAAGTAAATACTTGATCCGTGCGAGATTTGAATCCGCGGCCCTTACTGCTGCAACTCACAGTAGCCGCCTAATGGCATGTTGCGGACCGCGAACTCGAAAAGTCGTGGCTTCGAATCCGCCATTCGACTACTGTCGTGAACTACTCGTAACACGAGCATTTTAACCTTAGCAGGAGTGGTTAAAGGGAATATTAGTAATGTTTATATCATTACTAGTATTTTTTTAACTAGCTCAGCTATCTTGTCAGATTATAATTAGTATTGTTTGTATTATAATTGTAACGCAAACGTTCCGTTTCCAGGTGATGGAGAGTGCTCACACAATATACCTAGTCACAGAGTACGCTCCTAACGGAGAAATATTCGGTAAGGAGTTTGCCTCATTGCCGTCCCGATTGGTTAGTGGTAGCGCACGCATTACGAGTATATAATATACAGTTCATATACGAGACATTTCACTCCATACACATACATTTCATCACTCAATACATTGATTTAGGCGTTAATTTGCACAAATTTACTATATCTGACATAGATAACATTTATATGTATTGTCTATATATATTTATATATATTATGTACATATTGTGTATATTAATTAACTAAATAATAATAAAACATTTAAACGTGGTAAAGCTATGCTGCAGCTATATTACTGGTATAGTTCTAGCACGAATGGCTCGGCTCCTCTGGGGAAGGACCACGCTCTCACAGAAAACCAGCGTAAAATAGCAGCTCAATGCTGCTGTGTTTCGTATGGTGAGTGTAGAAAACCGGAGACCCTTTTTACTGGAAACGTGACATTCCATCTTAGTCAGTTAGACAACGCATCTGCATTTTGATTCGTAATCGGGGATAGATGTAGATGTCTATGGGCCACAGCAACCAGTTACCATCAGGTGGACTGTGTGCTCGTCTGTCATCCTAATTCTATAAAAAAAAAATCTATAATATATAATTTAACTTTTTATTAACTATTTCTATTTTGATTTTAGCTGCACCACCTATTTAGTCTACCCCTGTTTAGCCCAATGTTTGACTGGGAGAGAATGCCCTATGGCTTCAGTCCGCCGTATGTACTACTTTGTGCATGGAAGTATAAATAAATAAATATATATTCTTGAAGGCGAAGTGTCCTGAGACGTAAGATAATCAATCTGTGTGTTAAGAGGCGACAGTGGGAATCTGAAACAGGAGATGGGCAGCATTTTTCCAGATAACAACTCTAAATTAAGGGGATACCTTGAAAATGAATCGTAGTTTAAGGGGCGTGGCTTAGCCCTTTGTCGGTGAAGCTCACGGACGACTGAGGGAGTGTCAAAATGAAAGTGATGCAATTACAAATTATGAGATAGCTATACTGAGCACGCGCTTGGAAATAAACTACGTAAGCGCCAAACAACATTTTTATTTTTTTAACAAAACTACGTTATGGATTAAAACTATGATTTATGTGAACTTCGATATGATTATTTACTATGCTTGAAAAATAATTCCATGAACTGATTTGTAAAAATATTTTGGTCACATGGAGAAATGTTACTAATTAGCCCTACTTTACAATTTTTTTCTATCGAGCTAATTACATTTAATCGTGTTTTCCTTTTATGGAATCCAAGGTTATATAGTCCAAAAACATATACCAAAAATTTGGTTCGTAATCTTTAAAACTTAAAGAAATATGTCGAATAGAAAAATAAAAAAAAAATTCCACCTTAATAAACAACTCTGGGTGACAAGCCTCCTACCAAAGATGGCAATTATGCCAAATATCCCCCCAGTCTTGAGGCTATCTATAGGGAAGGACCATGTTCAGCAGTAGACGTTTGCTATGAACGCATCCGTTCCTAATCGGAAATAATATAATTTATGACACGGTGACTGTACATAGCTTCGCCAATATCACGGTCCTCCCCTGTTTTGCCCTATTTTGAATGGACAGCGATTATAACAGTCGACGAAATAAAGAAGAAACTTTTCTATCATTCCCCAGCGCTTTTAATTTATTCTTCTGATCATTCAAGAAGAAACACTTTAATAGGCTGTATTGATGATGATGATGATGATGATGATGTTGACACAAAAGACGTGTTCAGCATGTGTGCATTGCTACACCAGTTCTTAGTCCTAGCTGATTTTTCACAGGTATGTGTAACATGAATTTTATTATGCACCAGAAAAGACAGTAATTTTCCCACTTTCGTTGTAATTGTTCTTACTCTTCGTATAACGTTGGCACTCACACAACAATAATCTATTGTATTTATACTGTTTCGCACGTAAGTAAAGCTTCCTTGGTTGTCTCTGCCCTGTAATAATTAAAAAGTGCGTTAGATTAGCCTCCCCAAGTGACGTACAGAAGCCCTATCTATATAACATGCATCCTACGCAATCTGAGGGCTTCTGAATATCTAGTTGGCCAATCCTTTCACCTCAATGACGAACCCAAGTCCTTACATTCACCGGTTGACAAGGAAGGGGAAAGAATATTCATAAGCATTCATCATTACAGCTTTCACAAGCCCACTGTTGAACATAGGCCTCCCCCAAGGAATGCCACAAAGCACGGTCCTGAGCCACCTGCATCCATCCACTTCCTGCATGGTAGCCAGGAATAGCGGGGCCGCCGGGGACTGGGGGCCGTTGCTTTGTGTCGTTGCTCACGGGGGAATGTTTGCCACAGTTGCCACGCTTGCAAACATTAATCTTAGGTTATATGATGTTGTCCGCAAATTAAATTGTCTATCAGTTATTTTGGTGCTCAGTTTTAGTTCTTGATGATTGTAACCATTGATCTAAGGTTATGTATGATGTTGTCCGCAGACCACCTGGTATCCAAAGGCCGCATGCCGGAGGCTGAGGCGGCTCGTGCGTTTGCACAGATGGTCGCCGCGGTGGGATACTGCCACTCGCGAGGCGTCGTGCACAGGGACCTCAAGGCCGAGAACCTACTGCTGGACCGCGATATGAATATCAAGGTTTGACCCTGCACCATTATAACTGTGGACTGCCTCTGGTCTAGTGGATATAAGTCAGACCAAAATCACTTTTTGGGTTTATCTGTCCAGAAATACTCAGTAGCAGCCCGGGAGTTGGCGATGTTTCACTCCCGTGCCTCGGAAAGCACGTAAAGCCTTTCTGCGCCTGATCTCTCTCCGGTCGTGAGACGACTATGGGAAATCTTAGAAACATATCATGGATTCCGGTAAATATATATTGTATGATGAAATTTCCATGTGGTAGAACCACGCTACATATATTACAATATATAATTGTAGCTTAATGCTGCTGTGTTCCGTATGGTCAGTGTAGAGAACGGAGACCCTTTTTACTGGAAACGAGGTATTTCAGCACAGTGCCATATAGTGCCCACTCGCAAAATACGCGCTTAGACGTGGAGTTGCGGAGAATAGCCTGTCGTAATTTAATCTAATTCCATCTCAGTCTTCAGAGTTGACAACATATGTGATAAATGTAGATGTCTATAGGCCACAGCGTCCATCTGCCATTAGGTGGATTTTGTGCTCGTTTATCACCCTTGAGACAACTCATGGTTTTCGGTGAATGGCAGTATACGTCAGATGTAAATACCCAGACCAGCGACAGAGACCAGTGGCATAGGTGTTTAATGTTAGGTGTAACTTTTCCAAAAAGAATAAAATAAAATAAGGTGTGAACGAGGAAAGCCCTTTGTGGTTCAAAGCTGAGAAAGTGTATGCTTTTGAAATAATGATATTGGAAGAGTAACTTAAAATCAACTACCCCATATAATCCCGTGAGAGTGAAATGAAACAGGAAGTGGGCAAGCGGTATTTTCCTGATAATTACTCGAAATAATAAAAAATGAGGGTGACACTTGACAACCCGTCTGCTAAGTCTGGCAAGTATGGCAAAGGCGCCCTCTATGAAGCAACCTAGAGGAAAGGCAGTGGACTTTAGGCTGTAACGTATATATGAATATATGGCTGTTACGAGCTTGGGGTTCGAGACAACTAAAACTGCCGATTGAATTACCAAAATTGACACTTTAATTAAAGAACACTAATTACAACTTAAGATCACCTAATAATAAAACAATTGTACTACTGATCTCTTTAGTTCGCAGTTATATCACTTCGAAGTATTCGTTTATATCGGCAATTCAATACTGACTCGGTCGTGGTCTATATCTGCTTTATATAGGGTCTCAGACAGTTTCCAGAACATTCTTCTGTAGAAACATCTAGAATGTTCGAGTACATATCGGTCCCGAGATTTCTAGAAGGATCTTGACTCTCCTAGCTCTGCTACTCGATACTAGAGGGCGCTAGTGGTAACTAGTGTTGCCATGTAAAAGACATTAATAGTGGCGCGCAACATGACTTTATCGAGCTCAGATAAAATAGAACTTCTAATAAAAAGGGTATGGGTTATAATTACTAAGATGTGGAACTTCTTTTCCTTCTAGAAGTCCGCCTGGGACCACTCTCTTATCTCCTTGCCGCCAAGCAGCAGTGGGTCTACCATGTCCACGTATTAACACTGTAGATGTGTTTACAGCTGGCAGATTTCGGGTTCAGCAACGAGTACAGCGCTGGTGCACCGCTGGCCACTTGGTGTGGTAGTCCGCCTTACGCTGCACCAGAACTGTTCGAAGGCCGCCAGTACGACGGACCCAAGGCCGACATATGGGTACGTGATCGTTCACATACAAAACACACACACAACATAACTGTTAATTTATTTAAATTACGAATGGGTTTTTAAATAAAATGTAGATTTTGTCTGATTACAACTGTATATAGGTTTTTAAAATTAACAAAATGCTGCGTAGTAGTAGGAACAAAACTAAGTACACACAGTAAAGTAAAATGTAATTTTTAGAAATTAGGTTGTTCTTCCAAACAATAGATGACGTTATAAACCACTTACCCAAAGAGTACAATAACCAATTTGAAACATGCGGTGGTGACCGAAAACACCAAATTAACGCTATTTTAGGCACTGAAGTGATATGTAATACGTGTATACTATAAGTGAAAAGGGGGAAAACAGTCTTCATCTCGCGCCCTGCATCAGAGATCAACCAATTATTGACCTTCTATTCACAGACCAATACCACACCAACTTTCGGGAACAACGAGGTGGGCGTGACCCCTGAGTAGACGCTCAACTCGGAACCTGCTGTTCTTTCTCAAAAGAAAGGTTTGACGACTAAGATTACGGGTCCCTATGGAATGGTCCTGGTCTTGACGTCAGTCCTTAGTGGACTGTATTTGCCCTACTATTAGGGTGGACGCTGAGGATCTTGAAATAAAAACATGAATATCTTAAACAATACAATCGTTTAATTCACAAATTAAATGCTTTAAGCAGCGACAATAAGTTTTAATTCAACTTTAATTTTCTTATACAGTTTTGTAATTATTTTACCAATAAAATTAAATGCTTATAACATATTTCTTATCTTATTATTTTATGCAACATACCTGAAATATTTATTACATACATTTTCCAACATTACTGAAATTTTCAGAAAAACAATTATCGCTTTAAACAATTAATATATTTTTTATATTTTTGTACTATAACTTAACGCTGTTAAATACCATTACAAAATGAACAACCAATCTGAGCACGACCCTCGATCTCCATAGGGGGCTTGTGCCATCTCGCTTTAAAATTATGAATATCCCTGTTTAGTATATAATATACTATTTCTTTCTAACATATGCTATCCTTATCTAGCCATCATGTATCTTATTTCTTATCACAAAAATATAACACATCTTTAAATTATGTAAATAATTAAATATTTAAATTCTCATTCGTATTACATAGCCGATTGCCATATAATGCATGACTCTAAGTTAATTCAAATATGTTTCTTTAAAAAATTGAAGAAACAATTCGTCTTCTTCAAAATTCGACTTATTACTGTGAAAAATAAGAAATTACTTTTTGGAAATATTAACTCGTGTCGTCAGAAGCCGAGACTTGGTTGTTTGCAAAACACGTTAGGGCCCATGGGATCAAACTTACTTGGTCTGCCCATTTTTTTTACATGGTAGAGCCAAGCTGCAGCTATATTATTGTTGTGGCACGAATGGGTCGGCTCGACCGGGGTAGGACCACCCTCTCACAGAATACCAGCTTAATGTTGCTGTGTCCGTATGGTGAGCCGGAGAATCTTATAACTGTAAACGAGGCATTCCATGTTAGTCCTCAGGGGTGACCAATGCTTCTGAATTTTGATTCTTAATTGATGATAGATGTAGATGGCCTCGACATCCACTTACGATCAGGTGGAACATGGTTTATCACCCTTATTCTATAAAAAAAAATACCAGCGCGAAATAGCAACTCACTGCTGCTGTATTTCGTATGGCATGTGTAGAGAACCAGAGACCCTTTTTGCTGGAAACGAGGCATTCCGTCTTAGTCCGCGGGGTGCACGCTTTCGCATTTCTGCACGCTTTTGATTCTTAATCGAGGATGGATGTAGATATCTACGGACCTCAACATCCACTTGCCATCAGGTGGATTGTGTGCTCGTTTGTCATACTCGTATGTTTGCAGTCACTAGGTGTGGTGCTATACGTGCTGGTGTGTGGTGCTCTTCCGTTTGATGGTGGCACGCTGCACGAGCTACGCAGTGTTGTGCTCAGCGGAAAGTTTCGGATCCCATACTTCATGTCACAAGGTTGGTGGGACTCTAACCCTCAAGCATATAACGTGTTCGTACCAGTCCTGAAAGATGGAATTTTGAGACCATACTTTGCATTTTAGATATCATAATTGGTTTTACTGACAATCGTCGCGTCTGTCGTCGGCATTAGATAATATTTTTATCATTTTTATGGACATATAATAAACTAGCTGACCAGGCAGACGTCGTTCTGCCCTTTCCGACGACCATTTGCTTTCCTAAAAAAAATTCTTAAAATTAGCAATAAAAAAAAGTGAGGGTCACTTATCGGGATAAATACTATCCTATCTCTCAAGTTGGACCAAACTGCACACAGTGTGCAAAATTTCATTGAAATCAGATCAGTAGTTTAGGAGTTAATCGCGGACAAACAATGTGACACGTAATTTTTATATATAAAGATATAAAAATTAATACCTACTACCTACCAACATGTATGACAATTTGGCTGCCGCATCACTTCGATCTCTCGGCCTTGTAATGAAAACTAATAATTTACCGCTCACCAGATGTCGCTGGTTGGAACTTGAAGTAAAGATTATTGTTACACAGCGTCACTATAAGTAAAAAGTATCTTTTCAAATAAAAGTTTTTCGGTTTGTAGTATATATATCTATATACACACAACAATGCCTCAGTGGTTAATCTTTAAATATTTTTGGACATTTTAACTTTATTTTTAATTCTTTTATGTACTATTAAGAATATCAGTAGTTTGGTTTATTTATTTTTATTTATTTATATAAAATACAAGAAATATTTTAGAAATAAACATTAAACTTTATATTTTTTTAACAATTGAACTTTCCCTTTATGGAATATTTCACTTCATTTTAAAGTGGTGCCGCCCAGATTGTGGAAAAAATGAATGCCCTCTTTGACAACAGCTGTGAGTCTGTGTCACAAAAATTTGTGCTTGCTAAGCGATGCCTACAGATTGCGACAATTAAGCGACAATCGCTATTGTAATATATTTTAATAATATTTATCAACTCTTGCCGAAGTAACCTTAATTTACCTCGTATTCAAATATTTCAAAACAAGTGTTTTTACTTTATATGTAAGCGATTATAATCTTCACTCTTTAAACGACAATTTTCATGATACCGTCACAACGGGCCCACATTTTCATATTATTATTTTTAGGAAAGCCCAACTATATGCGGCCAGTAACCTTGCCATCTTCCTTTATATACCACTTATCCAGCCAATTAACCATAAATTCGTTAACGGGTCAGTCAACCGAAATCACGGATAAATGCCTTTTTAATATGGGTAAAATGTGGTGAGTGAGGGTATACGTATTGGGTTGCAGAGTGCGAGCACCTGATCCGGCACATGCTGGTGGTGGAGCCGGAGAAGCGGCTGTCGCTGCGGGGAGTGGCGCGCCACCGCTGGCTCGCCGCGCACCAGCCCGGCCCCGGCCCCGGCGCCGGTGCGCACGCCACCTACAACATGCACCACACGCAGCGCACTGGATGCTGCATGCCACATACACTACGCACTATATGACACATACATTATGCGAACTACAAACTATATGACACATACGCTACGCACTACACACTACATGACACATACATTACGCTTTACACACTACATGACACATACACTACGCATTACGCACTGCAAACTACATGACACACACTACGCACTACACACTACATGACACATACACTACGTACTACACTACATGGTACATAACACACGCCATACACTACGCATCACGCACTATGTACTACACACTACATAGTACATATCACACGACGCACCATACACTACGCACCTCTCATCACACACCACACACCTCACACCACTCACTATACGCCACTCACCATATATCACTCACCACACACTTTACACCTAGCGACTCAATCAAAACTGTTATAAACATTGTTGTATTATTATTATTATTGAATTAATACTATTCACTTCCGTATATTATTTAATATATAAAAGTTATTATTTGTTCATTTTTTGTTTCCTATGTGTTCTTATACCATTCATCCGAATGTGATAAAACTGTAGATGTACATGTGCTCGCCAAAGTTGTTAACAAAAAGAGGCATTGCCACGTATGCCGCGTACAGCTAGTGTTAAATAAAATGTACTGTCGTTAATTTTCTTCGAACTCAAAATTACTATAATAGTAACATTTAATTTCAATACTTTAGTAACGTAATATTTTCATTTTTTTAATGATGTGCGTTTCATCAATTCAGAATCTTTAAGAAAAAAAATATTGAACAAATCTAAAGAACTGTTAGAGTATGTATAAGCAAGTTATATTGTATATTTGTTAGCACTCCCTCAAGCTACCAGATAAGGTTGCAGGATAATATAAAATTCCAGGATAAGTGCCAAACTGTTTATATTATTGTATATTAATTTTATATGCATAAAGTACAGTAAAGTATACAGCAAATAAAACAGATAGAAACGGTGTACTGTCGCTTGGGCAATTTCTAGCTATCTGCCCGATCATAGGTCCGAGTGGCGGGGCGCTTGACGTCATGCATGGAACCGGTTGCAGTAGCTGGCGGTAACATCCTCCCCCTTTTTTACCAGTAGCTGGCGGTAACAATACTCTTAAAAAAGAACTCGACTGCAGTAATGTAACTAACATGAGAATATCATCACGCACTTGTAAAATGTTATAACCGTTTTGTGTTCATAATATCTTGTATAGTATATAGTATGTACATAGAACTTTTTATAACTTGTACATATTGAGAAATGAGTGTGGTGTTTCAGACGCGTCAGAAGGCGTGTGCGCGTGTCACGTGCGGGAGCGTAGATCTACGAGCGGTGCGGATGCTGCGGCTCCAGCAGCTGCGGCTGCAGAGCTGCAGCCGCTGCAGCCCACCGTGCTGGCGCACATGCTGGCGCTGCCCGGCCTCACAAGAGATCTCGTACTGCAGGTACTGATACCACACTTTAAACACCTTACAATTGGGAAACAAATGTACTGCAACGCTGGAGGCACTGCGGGGCAAGGGGCGCGCCGTCTTTGTGCTAGCGCATTTCACCGAGTCTGATAGATAATATAATATAATAGTCTGATAAATAACGAGCGTGGTTTATAGTACTTATTTAACTAATTGCCGTGTTCGAAAAATATAATATCTATAATGGTGAAGAATAACTGTTATAGTTATATAAGTTACTAAGTAAAATTAAATTTAAATGACGACCATGCTTATGTTTCCCCCATTTTTTTTTTATTAAATTGTTTATCGAATACATTACATAATTAAATTTAACAATCGAAAACAGAAACATATTTTCAATGTTTTTACAGGTAATAGTCCTGAAAATACTGTATATGATATGAAAAAGTTCCCCTATTAAGTCAACCCTACTCCTATTTCTCTAGTATTGCTATCGTGGAATAAGTTATAGTATATATATATATCTTACTTCGATTAACGATACAAAATGTTTACAGTCTGTGCA